TATATACTAGTTTTGGTCAGTGAATTTGTTTGTTTTGTTTTTGGACCGAGAAAACATTGGAAAAGATTGATGAACAATTTCATTTCTTTTGTAAACAGCAGGCATGACACGAAAGGAACCTCTGGTGACTGAGATTTACGAAATTCGAATCTTATATTCAGGGGTCATGTCGTAGAAAAAGAGGTGCAGGAGCTCATTAGCGTAACTCATTAGCGTAACTCATTTGCATATGCCACACCCCCTGACATCACCAGAAGTGTGTCAGAAGGCCACACCCACCGCTCAGGCTCCACTGGACTGTTTTGGATTGCCAGCTATTGGGGGGGGGGACGCGCTTGTGCCTGAATAAAACCTGGTCTTAAAGTTGCCACTGGACTGTTTTGGACCGGGGGGCTGGGGGAGGGGGGGCTCTGCAACTTACCTGGCTGCTTCTTGCTCTGACTGAGGGCTGCTGGGAGCAGGGGGTGGGGCTTGTTGCATGTGCCCACCCCCTGGGCTCTTTACTGCCGAAGCTCCGCTCCTGTGCGCTCCTGCAGTAAATGACCCTTGCTTATATTGTTCAAGAATACTGCTTTTGCGCTACAAATGTTGTTGCTGTTGTTGAACACCTTAAAAGATGACTGTCCTGAACATTTGTTAAAGTGGGTGAAGACTTATATGAGAATTCTCATATGCATGTGCGCACACTCACAGCTTCTATTTGAAAACTCCTGAAAACTTCTACAAACAGTTATCAAAGCTATCCAAGAAGAAATAAAAGATAACGGTAATAACAACTCAGAAGATCTTTTGTTAGTTGCCAGCTAACTTTATTCTGTACATTTTAAAAATCGAAACTGAATACCATACAAATATACAGAGAATAGACAAGGAAGATTTGTGTATTGAATAGTCTCCAAAAAGTGAGAAATGTATTGAATAGTCTCCAAAAAGAATGAGTTACTTCCTTCAACCAAATCTTCCTCTGATGGAAGAAAAAAAAACATTAAAATAAGAACTAATGGTGGGATCCACTGGATCTGCCCTGGCAGAAGGAAGCCATTGGTTCCCGCCCAAGGATACTGCAACTTTTTTTTGATGCTCTCAGTATTTTTAAGAACAAACATGAAGAAATAGGTGGTGATGATCGTAAGCTTGGTCCCATCTCACAGGTACGCAGAAGCACGCTTTAACATGTATCTACTATTTACTTATTCAAATAATTTATACACCGCCTTGTGGCTCAAGGAAGCGATTTCCAACATTAAAAACAGACAAAATACAGAACAACCTTATTTATCCTCCTCCCCAAGAAAATGCATAAAACTTAAACCTCATTATAAAAGCCCTGACAGATAAAATGGCCTTACAACGCCCCCCCCCCCAAAAAAAACTTCTCCATAACTCCTATTGGTGAACAGTTGCGTTAATTTTTTTGGAAAGATTATCATTAATATGATAGCTCATAAATCAACTAGAAGCTACAGAGGACCGTGGTTCAATTTTACAGGGCTTTTAAAATAGGCTTGCTGCCAGTTTCGAGTAGATGAAACCACGTGGTTTCACAAAACTGTGATGGAAGGAAGGGGGAAAGGTACTTTATTTTCAGGGACACTCCCTTAGACTAAGGGTTCCCTGGAAAGAACCTAGTAACATGGCATGATTACATACACCCCTCAACACAGGCACAACTATATTGCAGTTCTTGACCTGTTGTTTTTTTTTGTTGTTGTTGTTAAGACACATTGTTATTAAAAGCAAAATTCACACTTCTGTGATTTCACATAGCTGGGACTAACTTGCTCAGTACCCACAAGAATACAGATCCGGCTTGTTCTGCAAAGTTTGTTACAGGACTTAACGGGTTTTACATGCCCGCTCTATTGATATTCATTTTATATATTTCATTTATGCTTGTGGTTGTATGAATTTAGTTTGAGTTAGTTTGTTGTATTAGAGTGCTGGCTTTTTGCTGTGAATAAATTTGTTGGAGCCAGGCAGAAGTGCTTTTTCAGATTTTGATGGGGAAACGGAAAGGGAAAACACCATTCGAAGGCCAGTTATTGAATATATTCCAGATGAAAATTGGAAAAAAAGAGGAATGCATGTTAAGCATTTGGGAGAGTTATTTCTACACATCTAATATTAACCATGCCCTGACCTGGATAGCCTGGGCTAGCCCGATCCTGTTGGATCTCGGAAGCTAAGCAGGATTGGCCCTGGCTAGTATATGGATGAGAGACAACCAAAGAATACCAGGGTTGTGACACGGAGGCAGGCGATGGCGAACCACCTCTGAATGTCTCTTGCCTTGAAAACTCCATGAGGGGTCGCAATACGTCAGCTGTGACGACAGCAAAAGAAAAAAAGAGAGTAACCATTGCGGTCTGTGATCCTGAGGGATAATCAAGGTGTGGTATGAACTGGGAATGGGGTGGGAGAAGGGGACAGGACTCCGCATTGCTGAAGCTAGGACACCCCACAGGAATTTAGCTGGAATCGACTAAAATTATGCACCCTCAGGGTGCGGTCAGACGGCGTGCTGAGAGCGGGTTAAACTGCTCCGGTTCTAACTGGAATACATTTGATCTGGATAATCGCGATCACACTTGCCTCCCTTATCCCGCCTCACCGCACAGTCACGTTGCTTCCCGGCGTCTACACTACCGACGCGCGGGAGCATGTCGGCGGGTTATTTAAAAAAAATTTTCCTCAGTTTGCGCATGCGCATAGTCACCCCTCCATAGAAGGGGGGAACTATCATGGTGCATGCGCAGAACCACCAGGGCGAATCAATCCAACCCCTCCAATAAAAGACTTCCCTTTAAATGTTTGACCCGAAAATGGCCTTCGCAAGATCCCGAACTCATCTAAACGCTAAAACAAGTGACCGTTTAAATGTTGGTTTTCTAAATGCGGTGGTGGACCTCCGCCTAGGCGCACACCGGCAACACATTAAAAAAATGGCGGGCGAAAAGCGGAAGCCTCGGGCAGCTTCTGAGCGGGGAGGGGGTTTAAACCGGAAGTGGCTCGACACCGGAGGAGAGATCGGACATTAGAAAAGTGTGGCTGGAACTGGAGAATCAGGAAAACACCACTTTGGGACCTGGTATCAAAATCCTCCGGGTTAAAGCGGTTTTGAGCCAGAAAGCGACGGCTGGGGACGGGAGGCAGATGTTGACTGTGATCGCGCAGATAAAATCTGTTTCTGAGGCGGGCCGAAAGCGGACTAAATGGCCCGTCTGACCACACTCTCAGTGTTTAGTCCCATCTCCCTAGACTGACATCCGACTAAGCCTACAGGTCCTTCATTAAACATAACTTCAAATCATTCAAATTTAGAGTCCAGCGGCACCTTTAAGATCAACAAAGGCTTATTCAAGGTATGAGCTTGAGGCACACTTTTTCAAAAATGTAGAGCGGGCTCTAAATCCGTTCTACTGCTTCAGACCAACACAGCTGACCACCTGGGTCTGTCTTCAAATCATACCGTGTGCCACTCACTCAGGAATTTGGCCAATTCTGTAGGACATGAAAAAAGCGAAATATGTAAATATGGAGTTTTAATCAGTACAAACGTACATGATCATTATATTCTGGAATGTTAAAGAAAAATGTAAAGTGATAAAATGACTCCAAATTTAGAGTAGTTATGGAGTATACGCATGCCTTCATCGTACCTTTAAAAGCAATCAAAATCACTGAAGGGAGCTATTGGGGGGGAAATCACAGTAAGGGAAGCTTCCCATCTATCAGTGATTTATGGAGCAAACCTGCTCCTTTCTTGGCAGGTGAGTCTCCAGGAAGAAGAAGAGGAAGAAGAAGAAGAGGAGGAGGAGGAGGAGAAGATTGGATTTATACCCCGCCCTTCACTACCCAAAGGTGTCTCAGAGCAGCTTACAAACTCCTTTCCCTTCCCCTCCCCACAACAGACACCTTGTGAGGTGGGTGGGGCTGAGAGAGCTCTGAGAGAAACTGCTCTTTTTCAAGAACAGCTCTTGTCAGAGCTACAGCTTGCCCAAGGTCATCCAGCCAGGTGCAAGTGGAGGAGTGGGGAATCAAACCCGGTTCTCCCAGATTAGAGTCCGCGCACTTAACCACCACACCAAACTGGCTCTCTTCAAAAGAAACTAACATTTACGAAGTGGAGACTGATTGTACGAGAGCCTTGAATACAAACCCCAAAGAAGTAATGGTTGAACTGTCAACAGACACTCAAGGCTGCTGGGCCGCACAAAACATGCTTCAGAGCAGGCATGATTCCATGCAGAGAGCGGACCACGCCACTGGTTCTCCACGTGGTCCCAATGCACAGGAGACTTCCATATCAGCAACATGCGTTTCTGGAAGCATCCCATGTTGACATGGACACTCTCCCCTTGATGTGGCTCATCCGAGATGGAGAAGAAAGGAAAATGAAGGAAATGAACATCTAAATCAGGGGTGTCGAACTCATTTGTTACGAGGGCCGGATCTGACATAAATGAGACCTTGTCGGGCCAGGCCATGTGTGTCATAAAAGGTAATGCCAGGTCGCGGAGATATAAACTTTATAAAGGTCACAAACACAAAGGTGGTTTTTTTCCTTAAAATAAAAACATGCTTAAAACATTAGCCCTTTTGCAATATTTTGTTTATTTAACAGTGTCTGATAACTGACACCTCTTGCTCTGAATGATTGCATCAAAATGTCTGTGCTGTTGTAATTGTGAGTCTGCGGTTCAGGTGTGTCTCTGTAAGCTACAAACCTATGATGACGCAGCAGCAGCAGAACTGGAAGAAGAAGGAGGAGACAGCCAGCTCCACTGCGGGCCTGATAGAAGCCCTCCGGGGGCCTGATCTGGCCCCCGGGCCGCATGTTTGACACCCCTGATCTAAATTGTTCAGCGCAGGACCCTGTTTTCTAACCGTGAAGCAGTGGTAATCCAGGAGATTCAGGAAGTTAGGAGTCATTCATCACCTGGCCCCAAGAGAGGGAAGGGAATATCCCTGTCTTCATGGAAGAATTAGCCATTTCTGTATGTGTGTGTGGGGGGGGGGCAGGGGTCCCACTAAGGTAGGGGGAGGCATGCACCAAGACAGCCCACGGCTACACGCAATGCATACCGTGAAGGTTCCGATCACGTGCGCTTGAAGCACTGGCTTTCAAAACAACTGTAATGGAATAGATTTCCCGATATTTCCAGCGCAAATGACACAAGACAGATAGTAGACACGCTTTAAATAATTTCCTCGGACATGGTAAAAATCTAGTGTACGACAGGGCCTTTTTGAGGTATGCTTCGTTTAAGAGTACTGCCTTAACTTCACCTGAGCAAGATGGAGCATTCCTATCATAGCAGATAATACTAGAAATGGGGAAATATCCATTTAAATAAAATAATTATGTATTTATTTAGTGCATTTCTGTCCTATTTCTGCCTTCCTCTAAGGAGTTCCGGACGCCATACTTGATTCTCCCCATCTATATTTTATCCTCACAACAAACCTGTGAGGTAGGTGAGGATGAGAGAGTGCCTGGCCCAAGATCATCCTGTTTCACCACAAGCAAGGATTTGAACCCGGGTCTCCCCGATCGTAAGGCAACAGTTTATCCCCGACTTTCATTAAATTTAATCCCTGAAATAATTTGCCTTGCAAGTGAGTAAAGGCAAGGTGGAAATGGCACGTGTTCCACTCATTCTGATGAAGCCTTTACATAACTTACTGCATGAGGAAAAAAAATTGCACTCTAAGAAAAATCAGTCTCTAAAGGTTGAGCTCGGGATTTAAGAGTGACCATCTGTGGGGGTAGAGAACGGCGGCTTCTCTGTAAAACTGTACAACTGCAGAAAACAGTACAGGAAGAACCTTCTCAAATATTGCATTTGAGATTCATGTTACAAACATTATTTTAAAATACTTTACAACTATTTATCATTTCCTGATCGCACTAGTCTTCTTTTTTCTGTACCGCAAATCGTTCCATTAGAGCTCTGAAAACGTTCCCCGGCAGTTTCTGATGTTTGTTTATTAAAGACTGGACTCCGCTCTTTGCCTATAAGGAAGAAAAAGAAGAGTAGGGGAAGGTAAATTAATCTTTAAATATTTAAAATCCATACGTCATTAAAAACATTATAACCACGTTTTGTCATTTTAACAGAACAGAACTCCAAAGGAATAAAAAGATTAAAGGCTGGATTTCATTGTTTCACCATTGCAATGTTACCTCAGATAACACTATTAATTCTGAAGATTCAATGAAGCTATTTAAAAAAGACAAGAGCCACTGAATTCTTGCGAGAAGAGAAGAGTCACCGGAAAGGACAATCATGCTAGGAAAAGTTGAAGGCAGCCGAGAAAGAAGACAACCCAACATGCTAAGAAACAACAACTGTGACTCAGGAGTTAGGTCATGACGAGGCCGTTTTCTCTCCTCAAACACTCCAGACTCAACAAGCGGGCTTGGAACGAGCATTTCTGGGAGAAAATTTCCATGCTGAACATGAAACTAACTTTTGAAACCGTGGAGAACGATGAAACGTTATTTGGCCAATGGGATTGCATGGCACACCAGAGGTATACAAGAAAACCCCACAAAAGTTTTTAGCCGATTTTATAAAAATCAAACATTAATTGGGGTACGACTGTCCCCTAGTGGTATGAGCGGAAAAATGAAAATGGTATCATATTGACCCCAAAACATGTCGAATTTTGTCTGATTGTATGGCATGTGCTATATGTAGTGGAGGGGGACTGTTTTACTAGAAGTCAGTTATACCCAGATGGAAATTTGGGTTACAGACTTACAATTTGGGTCACAGAAAGCTAATGCAATCTTAGGATGCATGAACAGAAGCATTGTGTCCAGATCATGGGAGGTGGTAGTTCCGCTCTATTCTGCTATGGTCAGGCCTCACCTGGAGTCCTGTGTCCAGTTTTGGGCACCACATTTTAGGAAGGATGTTGACGAGCTCGAGCGTGTCCAGAAGAGGGCAACCAGGATGGTGAGAGGGCTGGAGTCCAAGTCTTAGGAGGAAAGGCTGAAAGAGTTGGGTCTGTTTAGCCTGGGAAAGAGAAGGCTTAGAGGGGACATGATTGCCGTCTTCAAATATCTGAAGGGCTGTCATGTAGAAGATGGAGCAGATCTATTCTCTCTTGCTCCGGATTGCAAGACTAGATCTAATGGGTGGAAATTACAAGGGAGTCGTTACCGGCTAAATATCAGGAGAAACTTCCTAACTGTGAGAGTGGTTGAGCAGTGGAACAGTCTGCCTCGGGAGATGGTGGATGCTCCTTCGCTGGATGTTTTCAAGAGGAGGCTGGACAACCATCTTTTGGGAATGTTGTAGGGCTATCTTTCGGCTATGGTCCTGCAGAGTGCAGGGGGTTGGACTAGATATGATTCTATGAAATCTGATACAGCTTTGTATTCTTTACACCCTGGTTAACTTGACGCTTCATTTTACATGCCAGTTTGTAAAGAAAAAAGGGAAACCAGCACCTTGTTTGAATGAAAGAGATTTCAAACGTCCTCTCTTACTCATTTGGACGATGCCATACTGAACACAGAGAGCTGTTTGCCTACTGGCACAACAAGATACGATCCATCTGACAATATCTCCGAAGAGGCAAAAGACACACAAATATGAAAAGGGAAAGTTGTATCAGTCGTTTTCAAGGTGATAGCAACACATTTTAGAACTGGCACGGAAACTTTTCTGAGGATGGAAGGCAAGGAGATTTGGGTGCAAGTGAAATATGCCATCAAAAACGACAAAATATAGTAGTCCCTATTGGACTCAGATTTAGGAATGTAGAGAACTATGGCTGATAATGCATTGCTTTCTGTTGCGATATAGGGCATTCCTATGCACCCCCCCCCACTGTGCTGGCCAATTAGGCACCCTCCCATGTGCGGGCTAGAGCCGGCAAGCGTTACTATGCAAAGCTAGGAATTGTTTGGCTCCCACAGCTGGCCTGGAAGGCAGACAACACACATCACCACCTGTACTTCTTAAGAGATTAGCATTTCAGCGCAAAGCAGAGAGAAAGGAACACAGACACTGAAAGGACATCCCAACCCCCATGGCAGCATAGCTGACAGAAAGCCTTCTTGCACTTCTACTGATAGGACCTTGGCATGTCTCCGAAAAGTCAATGAACAAAGGTAGCAGCTGCCATCTTGGCAGTACTCCTGAAAGATTGGGAAGATAAATGCTTACCTGTTCCGCCAGTTCCTCAGCAGTTACTTTGGGCTGATATGGAATAGGCTCCCCGAGAAAGGTGCGCAGTTTGACAGGGAAGTTTCCATAAAGCGGGACGAGGGGCAAACGGAGATATTCATACATCAGCCTAAAGAATTCTGTTTCGTTAAAAAAAATAACAGGAAAGCAAAAAGGAGCACATTAAGAGGAAAGCAAACGGAATGGCTTGTACAACGCTCTCTTCTGGGGTGAAGTCTCTAAGCCACAGAAGATGTCCAGGAAGGAACACGTGGCAGTTTGCTAACAGGGGGCAGCGCTGCTTCCTAAACTGCAGCTTTAAGAAGCGGGAGCTTTTGATACTGCCAAGACTCAGAAATGACTCTGTCATCCTCTGACCCAGCAACGTGTACTAGGCAAAAAAAAAATTGGCCAACTTTGAGCTCCCAGTTCTCCCGTGTAATCCTCTGCAGAGTTACTCCAGCTGAAATCAACGGGCTTCGATTGCGTGGGGCAGAGGGCTCCCCCCCTATGATGCCTGTGCGCACCACGGCACTACAGACACCTTTCCTGTTGCCCACCTAGTGTTCTTAGAAACTGGGGCGGGGCGGGGGTCTTTTGCCCAACGAGGGTTCGGATTGGCTGTGCAGACTTTTAAAAGCACTGAAGTGAGTGACTGAAGGTAAAAGCTGTGAGAGCCACTGCATGGCTCCCTCCACCTCCTGTGGCAGCCATTGTGTAGCTATTTCTGCCTCCTGGGCAGGCCCGTGGGGCCTCTCGGAGCCCAGCCCTCCCCAACTTCCCATCCGGCCCAGGCCCCCCCAACTTCCAATTTTTTATTTTATTTGTGACGCTTCCTAGGTGTGTGTGTGGGGGGGAGGGTGTCTCTGTGGGGTGCCCCCCGATTTATTTAAAGGCCCCCGGAATTTAAAAAATCCTAGTTACAAGCCTACTTGTGCGGCAGCCATTTTGTGAGTGTGCCCACCATTCTGTGCCGGAATTCCAAAGGTTAGACAAACAGGAACGAGGAGGAATCACGGGCAAAAAACAAGAATAATTCCCCAGAGACAAAAAAAATAAAATACCAGTCGTTAATGCATGAAACTACAGTCTAATGGAAACAAAGGGCCATAGCAATCACATGTGAATGAACATGAATATTTTAAAGCATTACAAAGATTCCACAAGAATTTACAAGTATACTTAACACAATATAAACTACAAACTCTATAGAGTATAAAGCTGGCAAGGACAATGTAGCTGAATAGAATACTGGCTAATGATCATAAGATTCAAAAGAGACGCAACGAAGGTGATAAATAAGCCACTTCAGTCTATTATTCTCTTCTCCAAATCTTAAATCTTTGTAATGCTTTAGAATATTCATGTTCATTTACATATGATTGTTATCAGGGGTCATTTCCTGCAGGAGCGCACAGGAGTGGAGCTCTGGCAGTAAAGAGCCCAGGGGGCGGGCACATGCAACAAGCCCCACCCCCTGCTCCCAGCAGCCCTCAGTCAGAGCAAGAAGCAGCCAGGTAAGTTGGAGAGCTCCCCCCCCCGCCCCCCTGGTCCAAAACAGTCCAGTGGCACCTTTAAGACCAGGTTTTATTCAGGTACAAGCTCTCCCTCCTCTGCGAGGACAGATCTCCCCCAATAGCTAGCAATCCAAAACAGCCCAGTAGAGCCTGAGCGGTGGGTGTTGCCTTTTGACACACTTCTGGTGATGCCAGGGGGCGTGGCATATTCAAATAAGTTATGCTAATGTTATGCTAATGAGTTATGCTAATGAGCTCCTGCACCTCTTTTTCTACGAAATGACCCCTGATTGTTATGATCCTTTATTTCAATTAGACTGTAGTTTCACGCATCGATGACTGGTACTTTTTTTGGTCCCTGGGGACTTATTCTTGGTTTTTGCCCGGAATTCCAAAGGTGCTTGCAAGCTCAGCGAGGTTGGAGCCTCCAGACTGGACTAACTTTGCACAGGACTGCACTGTTAGGATTACAAACATCAATAACAGTATAGATTTTTTTAAAAAAATGCTGGGATGCTTTAATAGTTGTTAATTTTAATGATTTCTATGCTTTTGAAATAATTTTACCATGCGCCCCTCCGTAAGCCAACCTCAAGCAGATTTTGGAGAGGCGGCGTATAAGTACTCTAAATGGTTTTCTAAAAACTTCCTTAAAATCTTCAAAATAAATAACACCGTACCAAAGACTACACAAAAGCTCTCAGACAGAAGCACTAAGGTAAAAACGACAATAAAAAGCAATTCATATGAAACCAGTGAAGGGTCTTACTTATTCCACCAAGGGATCGGATTCCTTCCCGAACATTTTGTGTGAACATCGGGATGATGGGCTGAAAGGGGGACAGAGGGAGGACATCCATTAGGGGGAAAAAATGGCCACTTGATTATTTGTTTCCACCTCCCCCACCCCCACCCCTGCTTTTTGCACAAATTAGCATAGGGTAAATAAAATCCCAACTTGCGTCGTTCAGCAGAAAAGGAAAGGCTTCACTGTAAAGGGAGTGAAATGATGATGGGCAGGATCCAATCCTCTTCTAAGGAGCCCTCCTCTAGTGTAAGCGGCTCTTCCGCCGGCACAAGAGCCGCTCACGTTGGAGGAAGGCGTCAAGCTTCGGCCAGAAGGTCAGGTCAGGTGTGAATATTTAAATAAATAGATAAAACTTTGCTCGGCAGAGTGTTTGGACAAGCGGCAGCATCCACCCCCATATTTGCAAAACAAATCATATTTGCATATTTGATTTCATATTGGAATTTTTTTTGAATGAGGTTAGAGCAGCTTTTGGTCTTTTCTTGTAAGAGAACCTGGTGAATAAGGGTAGGTGTTTGATGCTGTTCAAGTAGTGGTTTGCTATTATTATTATTATTATTGTATCAGTGGTACATTTAACCCCCTTCAGGGATGCTTTTAACATTGGGTAAGCACCACCATGCATGGGAGGTTAGATGCTACTCAACAGCTGTTTGAATGCATAAAGCTGCCTTATACTGAATCAAACCACTGCCCCATCAAGGTCAGTATTGTCTACTCGGACTGGCAGCAGCTCTCCGGGGTTTCAACTAGAAGTCTTTCCTATCACCTCCTGCCTGCTCCTTTAAGAAGAAGAAGAAGAGAAGAGATTGGATTTATACCCCGCCCTTCACTACCCAAAGGAGTCTCAGAGCGGCTTACAAACTCCTTTCCCTTCCCCTCCCCACAACAGACACCCTGTGAGGTGGGTGGGGCTGAGAGAGCTCTGACACAAACTGCTCTTTTTCAAGGACAGCTGTGCCAGAGCTTGTGACTGACCCAAGGTCACACCAGCAGCTGCAAGTGGAGGAGTGGGGAATCAAACCCGGTTCTCCCAGATTAGAGTCAGCACACTTAACCACGACACCAAACTGGAGATACCCAGGATTGAACCTGGGGCTTCTGCAAACCGAGCAGATGCTCTGCCACTGAGCCACGGCCCCTCCCTGTTCGTTCTAAATGGCTTAACGCTGACCATTTATATCAGAACTTTGCATGCATCCCCTACAAAAGCCTGTAGGTCCTTTCCTCCCACATGGATGGAAGAAGCAGCTTTCGACGACTCACTAATTACAGTGGCTTGAATCTTTGTCGACTATCATAATAATCTGCACTAGTCTAATAATGTGTCAGGAATGTTCAAATGGGTGAACTGCCACTTTCATCCACCACCTCCCATCTGTGATTAAGTTCGTAAGAAGGAAAGAACCACCTATTAGCAAAGAAAGGGATTGTGTAGCCAGAAATATTTGCAACCTTTATACACATATGCACATGGATACACTTATATACTTAATATTTCCTGGTTAGGAGCTATGTTTTAGGGGTTGGGCTAAAAAAAATTCCAAAGCCTACCAAAGGCACAACACTGTCAACAATTAATAAGCTCTCCCAGCACCAATCAACATGATCGGAAAAAGGAGCCTACGCTTGTGCACTTGTCAAAGATCTTTCAGATGAGCAATGTTGAATGCACATATGTTGGTCTATTATCTATTCATTTGATTTTAGTTTATATACGTTTGATTTTCACACACACACAGAGAGAGATAAATAGCTTTGGAATTAGAAAGACTGAAATCATTGGAAGTTTCTACAAGAACATCTGAACTAGCAACTAGAATCCTTGTATATTTTCAGACCCACAACTTTACTGTGCTCATATAGGTGTGGCTGGGTTTTTTGGGGAGTATTTCCCACCAAAATATTACATCCTATCTGGTGCTATAATGTAGGATCTCCGGAGAACCTCATGACAACTGGATGCAGGCTGTGCTATGTTTGTCAGCAAGAGTTAGTAATAGTTGGAGAAGTCAACTGCAATTATTTGAGTTGGGCAACAAGTTCCATGGCATATGGAATGTCAAATAAACTCCTGACATGCCTAACTGGTAACTTTCTCTTTCAGGAGGAGGAAAGAATGAGAGATCAGCTATCCCGATCAATGCTCCCTCCAAGCTGTGCAGTCCTGTGGGCAAAACCTCTACTTTGTGAGCTCCTGGCATTCAAGTTGTGAGCGAGAGATTTGGCTCCTGCATCAATTAGTTGGCTCTGGAGCCGCCTTTCCTGAGCGCAGACAAAAATGTGTGAGTCAGAGGCTAAAAAACTGTGAGCCAGCTCACACTAACTCAGCTTAGAGGGAACACTGATCCCGATATCTATCCCGATTCTAACTATATCTGGCCAATGAGGTGGGATTGGTGGGCACTTTGAGGGAAGTGACTGCATAGTGCTGAAATTCCTTATTGGAAAGCTGAAGGTGAACATAGTCAAACAAACACCCAGACTTTCCCCTGAAAAACTTAGAGAAATACAAGGCAGGATTTGATGACTGGATAATCTCATCAAACAAAAGTGTCCAGGATGGGAAGGAGGGTCCCAAGGGAGGGGTCCCTAAAGGCAGCAGCGTCAACTGCACCAGTGACAAAATAAGTCAAAATGGCCATGTAAAAAAAGAACATGAGTGATAAACTGAAAAATCCAAAAGGATACATCGAGGAAAAGGAAGAAGTCATTTGGAATGTTTATGGTCAAGTACCCCATGCTTCTACAAACACTGACAGGAAAGCCAAAGCTAACAGATCAGCTGAGGCTGTTGACCAATGCTAAGAAAAACTGAAAATGTTTATTTTTTTCCAGGTATGTTTATATGTTTATTTATTTTTGTCACATATACCCCATTTTTCTCTCCAGTGGGGACCAGTTTGGTGTAGTGGTTAGGAGTGTGGACTCTAATCTGGGAGAACCGGGTTTGATTCCCCACTCCTCCACACGCAGCTGCTGGTGTGACCTTGGGTCAGTTACAAGTTCTCTCAGAGCTGTTCTCTCACAAGCAGTCCTCAAAAGAGCTCTCTCAGCCCCACCTGCCTCACAGGCAGAGTTCCCTCTGAGTAAGTGTGAGCTAGCTCACAGTTTTTTTAGCCTCCGGCTCACACATTTTTTCCTAGGTCAGGAAGGATGGCTCCAGAGCAAACTAATTGATGCAGTAGCAAAATTGCTCGCTCACAACTTTAATGCCAGTCGCTCACAAAGGAGGATTTTTGCTCACAGGACTCCACAGCTTAGAGGGGAGCATTGCTCACAGGGTGTCTGTTGTGGGGAGGGGAAGGGAAAGGAGTTTGTAAGCCGCTCTGAGACTCCTTCGGGTAGTGAAGGGCAGGGTATAAATCCAATCTCTTCTTCTTCTTCTTTTACCTCCCAGGGTGTCTGTTGTGGGGAGGAGAAGGGAAAGGAGTTTGTCAGCCGCTCTGAGACTCCTTCGGGTAGTGAAGGGCGGGGTATAAATCCAATCTCTTCTTCTTCTTTTACCTCACAGGGCATGTGTTGTGGGGAGGGGAAGGGAAAGGAGATTGTAAGCCACTTTGAGACTCCTTTGGGTAGTGAAGGGCGGGGTATAAATCCAATCTCTTCTTCTTCTTTTACCTCACAGGGCGTCTGTTGTGGGGAGGGGAAGGGAAAGGTGCTTGTAAGCCACTTTGAGACTCCTTCGGGTAGTGAAGGGAGGGGTATAAATCCAATCTTCTCTTCTTCTTTTACCTCACAGGGCGTCTGTTGTGGGGAGGGGAAGGGAAAGGTGTTTGTAAGCCACTTTGAGACTCCTTTGGGTAGTGAAGGGAGGGGTATAAATCTAATCTCTTCTTCTTTTACCTCACAGGGCGTCTGTTGTGGGGAGGGGAAGGGAAAGGAGAGTGTAAGCCGCTCTGAGACTCCTTTGGGTGGTGAAGGGCGGGGTATAAATCCAATCTCCTCCTCCTCCTCTCCAAAGTGGCTTACGAATGGTAGTGAGGAGGGTAAAATGTTAACGGTTTAACAAAGAGAAGGCACAGGGTTGCCAGGTCTGGGTTGGAAAATACCTGGAGAATTGGGGGGGGTGGAGCCTGAGGAGGGCGGGGTTTAGGGAGGGACTTCAATAGGATATGATGCCACAGAGTCCACCTTCCAAAGCGGCCATTTTCTCCAGTGGAACTGATCTTGGTCACCTGGAGACCCACTGTCATAGCACGGGATCTCCAGGTGCCACTTGGAGGCTGGCAAACCTAACAAGGCGGTATGGCTTGATCTCTATTTGACCTCTGTCCTCTCCGGCAAGGGAAACTGCAGGCAACCTCACAAGAATGAATGAATTTTGAGAGGACAGAATTTTGAGGGGGGCCGAGGAATACCTGGTCACCATAAACAAGTTCGAGCCTTCTGGAATGCCTGAACGGCATCCAAAAGGAACTTCCTGAGGTACTCTCAGACCACTGGACGCCATCTTTGAGAAACCGTGGTGACTGGTGAGGGGCTGCGCTGCCTGGAAACAGGCACGTGCCGTCCCAGTCTTCAAGACAGCAGGGGAAAGAGGAGCTTGGGAAACGTCGTGCCAGTGAGCCAAACCACTGCTGGGAAAGATACTAGAGCAGATCGCTATGCGGGCTATCTGTCGCCATCACGAAAAGAATGCTGTCATTAGTCGAAGCCAGTGTGGAAGAGGAAACCCTGCCAGGCAGGTCTTACTGCATTTTTGGGGGGGATCAGGTTAACAGCCTGGTGGATTTCAGTGCTTGTGAATGGCACTTCAGAAATCCGGCAGGAAGTGCCCCAGGGCTCTGTCCTGGTCACAAATAGGTCCAAAAGGTGGAGGAGAAGAAGGAGAAGGAGAAGAACCTTTCCTACCCCTCCTCACAACTGTGTGGTAGGTGGAGCTGAGAGAGCTCTTTTGAGAATTGCAGAGGAGGAGGAAGAAGCGGAAGAAGAAGAGGAAGAAGAGAAGGAGGAGGAGGAAGAAGAAGAAGAGGAGGAGGAAGAGGAAGAAAAGAGGAGGAGGAAGAAGAAGAAGGAGGA